ATGATTTTGTTTTCATGCCTGGTAGGAGCTATGGGCACTGCGACGGTAGAGGCCGGGGATGCGGTGTATATGGCAGCCCCCCTCCAGCAAATGATCCAGTCCAGATATGCATGCTGCTAAGGTTGAGAAGCTGACTGAAGGCACATGGTGCATACGGACTCCGGTATACGGGGACCATACAGTTCCACAGCAGCACTCGCTCGGAGGCCTAGGGCTTCACAAAGATCAGCAAGTTGCCTCCTTATGAGGTGTTCCCAGAAGTCCAACAGTTCCATGGCAGCAGGACACTCTGCATTACCCAAAACTCAACTGACTCCTCAACACAAGGCAACCACAAGGTGGTCTCTGGTGACTTGACCTTTCAGGTGTCATCCTGACAAGGATACCCACTTTAAAATCAACTGTTGTGTGAATTTCAAAGCAACTTTAAAATATTATACTTGAGACAAACATTAACTGAAACTCTCAGGGTTATCCCAGGGTTCCTTGGACCACTGCTTGAAAGCCACGTGTGTGAGGTTCTCTTCTCAGGCCTGGCTCTGGCTTAGGATGAGGAGTAAATGTAATCCCCAGTGGCCAGACTTTTCCACAGAACAGCTTAGCAATCATGAGACTGGCAGACTGGAAACCGAGCTCCATTGGCGTCTTACATCGGTCCCTTTCCTTCCTCATGGGGACCAACAGCACAGGACCAAAGCATGTGTGTCCTAGTCTCTTCCCACTCTCTGTCCACTCAGTCAAATTGCCCTAGGATCCTAGACTATCAGAAAATGACACTCACTTTTCCCTTTGCCATTGATGCTCCTCAGCTCAGTCCCAGCCATTACTCATTTTTCCAAAGCCCACGCTGCACAGCTTAGTCAGTGTCTTTCTCAAAGGAAACTGAGTGTCTTGAGGAGGAAGGAAAGAGCTTTGCATCTTCAGCGGATGCTCTGGTCCTAGTGCCTCCATTCTTGAGCTCTGTGGTTGGGGGCAGTCATTTTGCTGTCCTCTAGAGTTTCCTCACCTGTGGACAGATAGTCATGGTGTGTCCTCCCGTGTGCTTGAAGACGACTTAACCTCCGTAATTACTTAAATGGTTTTTTTGTGCTCATTATTAAACAAAAGAATGGTCTTTATTTGCATCATATGCACACACATGCATATATGTGTGTACCTGTCTGTACGTGTGTGTGTGTGTGTGTGTAGGTCAGAGAACAACTAAAACTTGTGAAAGTTGGTTCTCTCCTTCCATCATGTGGGTCCCAAGGAGTGAACTCAGGTCGTCAGGCATGCCAGCAATCACCTTTACTCACTAAACCATCTCACCTGCCCAAGAATGGTCTTTAAATACATTGTGTGGAACATCTCTTTGGAGACCAAGTCTTAGACAGAATCTCCCCGTGGATGATTCATTTGTACCTCGCCAGTGCCCACCACTGAGGATCGAAGTTTTAGAATGATTGTGCCACGCCCATTTCTTTTCTGCATTCGCGCCTATCTCTCATTTGTTGCACATATGCTTAGAAGCGGATCTGATTCCTTGAAATGACAACTCACTCCGTCAAGAGCATTTACAACCAGAATGGCTCAGCTCCTAAAATGTTTGTAGCAAATAGTGAAAGAGAGACAGGCTTCCTGATCAGCGTGGCTTCCTCATGGTTTTAGGTGCGGAGCCTTGGCCAACTATTCGATCCACGAACGTCAGGGCAGGTGCTGTGAAAGCTGTATGGGCTGAGTTCCATGTGCACATGGATCTTTCTCTGTGTGTAGGAATGAATTAGACGTCCCAGTAAGTTACAGATCATTGCTTTTCTCCTGGTGATCCCCTCTCAAAGGAAAACATCTTTAAGTTTACCTATGTGGGTCTTTGAAAAGCAGCATCATTTAAAAGACGACAGTTATTCGGCCAAATTAATTATGAAATCCAGGTCATGCACCAGTCTCAGTGATTATTTCTGAGAGTCGCTAGAAAGGAGCCCAGCCTCTGCACTTCTATTTCCACATCTTCTCTTAGACCAAGTGCCTGGGAAACAAGATTCGAGCAGATCAGTGTTTTCAACATGCTTTCCTGCTGCATTGTTAGTTATGGTTATTCTTCCTCAACGTACATTGCTGGGATGTTCTTGATGCAGCCAGAATGAAAGCCAGGTTGGTAGCGCTGGGAAAGCTGATGTCACTGCAGCACAAAGCTGGTCGGTTGCTCTGCAGGTGTCTTTTCTAAGGCCCATGAAGTCCAGGTTCCACAGGCAATGCTGAATTTCTCCTTTGTCTGAAGTCTTCTGACTAATCTTCCTAGAAGGTGCTCGCAGGTTCCATGAGCATCCGCTCCATGCGGTCACCCTCTCTGAAGTTGGGACTTTCCTCAATATTTTACCTTCCCTAGGCTCATGTTTGCAAATAAAGGGAACATCATGGAGGCAATTTCTATTCACTCTGAATGGTTCCTTCTGAAAGGAGAAGAAAGCACACACGTAATCACGTAATAAACACACACTGATTACTGTGCCTTGGCTGTGTAGGATGCTCTGGGGAAGGATTTATGACAGTTCTGGGAGGAAAGTGTTGGGGAACGGACAGGCGTTAGCATGCCACCAGCAGCATCTCAGGAAGGCGTCCTGGAATGAGGTAGGGAGCCCCCATTTGAGCTTTGCTCTATAGAATGTCATTGTTGCTTTTTCTGTAGGTTTGGTAGCAGTGTCCACCAAGGGCTAGGTTGTCCATTAGTGAAGCTTCTTCAAAGGTATACCAGCACACCCATGGTCTAGGCAGGTAGCAAAGCTTTGAACTTCACCTCAGCCATCCTTGCCTTACCGTGGTGATCTGTCCAGGGGAAGCGCTTCTGACTGCTGCTCATGGGAATGTCAGAGTTCTCCGTTTCTGCTGACCAGGGTGCTATTAGAAAGCCATCAATGTCACTGCTTTAGAGCAAGCACGTTTTATCATTCATAAGTACGGATGGGGCCTGTGCCGTGGGCCAGGCTCTGTCCTGTGCTCTTGACACACATCAGCTTTAAAATCAGAGGTCAGTGTCTTCGTGATGCTCACCCTGGAGTCGAGAGAACAGATTAGTCAGGGCTTCCAGAATACTTAGCTCATGTGCTAAGACGGCCACAACAAAACACTACACTCTGGGTGTCTTAAACAACAGATATTTGTGTCTTATATTTCTGGAGGCTGGAAGCCCGACATCAAGCTGTCAGAGGGTTTGATTTCTCCTGAGGCCTCTCTGCTCAGCTTGTAAATGGTTTCTTTTCTGTGTCCTCACCTGACCTTCCCCCATGTAGAGACATCTCTGGTGGTTCTCGTCATAAGAAGAACCACTGGCTTTGGATGCTGACCTGACCTGCATGCTTCACTGAACTAACTTCAGTGTCCCCTTAAAGTCCTAAAGCAAACACACTCACACCGGGAAGGCGGAAGTTCAGCTTTCATAGGGACAGGGTGGGAGGCACAATTCTGACCCTAACAGTAGAGTATTAAATGGTAAGTGCTCATATTTGGGAGAATAAAAAGATTAGAGCACGTTAGGAAGATTGGGAGTACAGTCGGGTGATGGATGGTTGGTGGAGACCTCACTGAGAACAGGGTATTTTAACCAGGGCTTTAGAGCGTGGTTTTGTTAATAAAGCACTCCAGGTAGAGGTGCAGTATGGCGAAGGAAGTCAGGGACATAGGGACCCAGGTTCTAATCCCAGCTCTACGGAGTTGTAATTGTGAGACCCGGAGATGTTCCTCTAGCTCTCAGGCCCCGTTTGCAAGTATGCCTACCATGCCCCTCAACCTGATGATCTAAAGCAAGCATTCTTAGAAACGGGAAAAGGCCCTAGACCAGGACTGTGTTAGCTGGGAGCCGAGTTTGTTAGGTTGGAATAGGCCAGGCTCTTTCTAAGAAGAGCTTCTAAGAACACAGCTGAGGATGAAATCAAGACAAATATGTCCTGTGTGCCACAGTGATGATTGGCACTGCAAGGGTCTTTGACGGGGTGGGTGGGACAGTGTGATAGGGCACTGCCTGTTTCCTGAGGCCTTTTCTGTGTGGTGTGCACAGGGGGAAGGCCTGGCCCAGAGTGGCCCGCCCGTAGAAATCACCCATCCCATGGCAGGCTGCTTAGCTCTGTCTGACTATGCTCTCCGTGGTTTCAAAAAAAAAAAAAAGAGCAAATGGGCACTAGTGAGCGAATTTGGGGGTTGGGTCATAGCCACATAGATTTCATAGTTCTGAAATCTGTGGTGGTGAAAAGGACGCCACTCTTAGGGACGTCTGTGCGGAAGCCCTTACAACTGTCCTTGCAGCTGTTCTATAAATCCAAAACTCTTCCGAAATATTTTTTCTTAAAAAAAAATCAAAACAGAACAACAACAACAACAAAAAACCCTGAAGCCCATTTTGCATGTGGAGGTGACCTAGGCCCTGCAGGCATTGGCTTACTCATGGTGACAGTACAAAGTACATGGGCCTGCGCGTGGGTCAGTAGTGCCCATTGGTGATAAGGTGAGATTAGTAGATCTCCAGTCCTGCTTTTCTCTTCGGCAGATTCGACATTCTCACCTTTCCCACCCACCCCAGGGGATCAGTTTTAGATACTGCCGCTGACTACTGATTTTGTTTCAATATTCGACAGCAGAATAATTTCGCGAGCCATTGTTTAATGATAGAATTAGCTGGAGAATGTTCTGAGAGGCCGGGGAGGCAACAGCATATGCAGGGAAGATGTTCAAAGAAACCGAGGGAAAAAATGCTCACATGCTTTGTAAAGACAGCACTTTTGAAAACATCCCGGGTTCCATATATGCTGAAGCGTACACCCAGCTGAGACCAAGGCTCATGGGGTGGGTGCACTCTATAGAGGTGATGTGCCCAGGACCTCGCCTTTTGGTCATTTTGTGGCCCCTCCAGCTGTTAAGCACAAGGTGAATTGTGGGTAACTTAGAGGGGGAATGGGGAGATACATACATGCATACATACATATATATCCCTTTCCCTTTCTCTCTTCTTTCTTCTTCTTATTTTTTGACAGCTGCAAACCAGAAGGAGCCTATGAATCTTAACTTTAAAGTGAAGGAGGAACCCAAGGAAGAGGAGGCCCTAAGCACGCCCTTGCCCCGGTCCAGCTACGTGTTCAGCCCAGAACCGGAAGTGGCCACCCCTAACCTCTCCGAGGACCCACTGACCCCCCAGGAAAGCAAGGGGAGCGTGCCAAGGCGTGACCTGTCTGCCAAAGCTGCCTCAGAACTTCTCATGAAGCTCTCAGGTACCCAGTAGATTCTAAAATATTTCCATTCTGGTCATTTCACGGGCAAGCCAACTGGACCATTTCCTGCACGGCTTATAATTAACCCGATGGCAGTGATAGCGTGGAAACAGCGAATTTAAGGAATGATCAGTTTGCTTGGCTTCAGTTCCTGTGTTAGACTGCATGAGTTTGTTCATTTTTATCTATCTGTGCTGCACCTCTCTAGACATTGGCTTCAGTTCCTGTGTTGGACATGTTGGGTTTGTCCGTTTCTCTCCGCACTCCATCTATTTATCTAGATACAGCTTTCTCTTTCTGGATATCACTAGAAATGAACATCACCAGAATTGGAGAGGATATTGGAGATGAAATTCGCAGGATTTCTTCTACTTGATCAAAATATCTTTTCTTAAGAGAAGATGCTGTGTCTTTTATAGATTTATACTACATTCTTTAAGGACCATTACAATATTTCCCTAGGCGTGGTGAGCAGTTGAGGTGGCACTCAAAGTACTTATCAACAGGCAGTTTTAAGGATCGAGAACTCCCTGGGGGAGGGTGGATTAATTAACCCGTTCTTAACGATGAATGGACGACTCCACTGATATCTAAACGTAGTCTTGACTTGTTGGATATAAGAGAAAATGGGCTATAAATTGAAGCTAGTGAATTTTGGATTTGGGGTAGCAGTGTCTACCTCATTCTCTGCAACAGGTAAACAATTTAGTGTCTTTTTGGTAGCAGGGTATGACTTTCAGAACATGGAAGAAAAAGCGGTATTGGTAATCCTACCTTTCAAGTGGTAGCTGTTCTCAGTTTGCTGCCTCCTGAGGGTAATTTTTAGGAACTGTGTTTGAAATGCTAATATGAATCAAAAGCTGTTTTTCATTGGGAACTTGCTGTGCTTGGAGGATGAAAGCAAGAGCTGCCTTCATGGTCCTCCTCTGCAAGCTGTAATTTCATTGGCAATTCTGACAGTGTTTCTGGTTCACTAGAAGGCTGGCAAGTAAGAAATTAATAGTGACTTACTTAGAGTCAGCATGTCAGAACAGCTGAAATTCCTGCATCTGCCAGTTGGTGGGGTTAAGAATTCTTGTCTTTGATATTAATTCAAACACCCTGGACTGTGAGGGGAACATGGCTTGCTGGTGACAGAGCACGACAGAGTCACTGTGGTCTTATGGAACTCCCTTTCCCCAGGCTTCACACGTGATGCTTACACTGACGGAGCTCTGCAAAGGTAGAAGCTGGGAAGGCAAAGTGGCCATGTTAGAGCCCGTATCAGTGTGTCCCTTCTGTGCCAAATATCTCAGAGATGCGATCAGCACTCTGCCATTATTACGTCCGTCAGTCCGCAGAGGTCACCCACCTCCGTTGTTCTCCCAGAGGTAGCTCTCCCAATACAGTGGCTTAAGCTCCCACTCCGCACTCACGCCTGTGCCCTCCTCGACGGTAGTAGTGCCATTTCAGAGTGTTCTACGTAGCTGCCACGGAGAGCCGAGGAGATGGCGAAAGTGCTGAATGAGACTTCAGGGCAGACGTTTGTAAGGAAAATATTTTATCTTAATCCCTTTTTTGTTTGTTTGTTTTTGAGGTGGGGTTTCTCTGTGGCTTTCGAACTTGTTCTAGAACTCGCTCTGTTGACCTTGAACTCACAGAGATCCACCTGTCTCTGCCTCCCGAGTGTTGGGATTAACACTACCCAGCAGCATCTTAATCCTTTTAGAAGACTTCATTTGAGAGACTGAATTAGGAAACTCTTTTCTAGACAATAATGAGACCTCCCCCCCCCCCCACACACCCAAAGAGAAATGCTGCCAAGAACATCTAATGGTATTGTGGGCAATGAAGGCTCTAAGTGTATTCATTGATTTTTTTCATTGAGTGTGTGTGTGTGTGTGTGTGTGTGTGTGTGTGTGT